GTGAATTGTGCAAGACTGTTGAATCACAGATCTGTACCTCTGAAACAAATAATGCAATATATGTTAAGAAAAAAAAAAAGAAGATAGCAGGAGGGTAAGAATGAAGGGGGGGAATCGGAGGGAGAGACGAAACATGAGAGACGATGGGCTCTGAAAAACAAACTGAGCGTTCTAGAGGGGAGAGGGGTGAGAGGATGGGTTAGCCTGGTGATGGGTATTAAAGAGGGCACGTTCTGCATGGAGCACTGGGTGTTATGCACAAACAGTGAATCATGGAACACTGTATCAAAAACTAATGATGTAATGTATGGTGATTAGCATAACAATAAAAAATTTTTAAAAAAATAAAAAAAAAGTAATATGGAGCAATAAATCAGAACTATTGAAATGCTATGGCTCCCCAGATATTCTTGTGTGACATCAAACAGTAGGGTCAGATAGGAGAGTGTTGGCTACCCATTGAATGCAACATAAATTATGACAGGTGAATGTTCATTAAATATAGAATTGAAGACATTCTAAAAGAAATTGAATATAAATCAGGTTTTATTTAATTGACAATATTCCTCTGTTGCAGAATATGGGAATATCCCTGGTACTTGGCCTGCTGAAACTCACAGGATCCTGGACTGGCTCTAGATCAGGTTGAGTATCAGTTATTGGTACATACAAAATACCCCCAAACTTCCAATAAACATCATTTATTATTTCTCCCAAGCCTGGGGTGAGTTGGTAGCCGGCTGATCTCCACTGGGATTGCCAACAGTCTGAGGGTTTCCTGGGACCTGTACTGTAGGCTGGCTTAGCTGGATTATCTCAGCTGGAACAGATCTGTTCCATGGGTCATAATCCCCCATTTAAGACCAACAGACACACCTGAGCATGTTCTTCTGGCAATAGAAGAAATCCAAGAAAGCAAGCAGAAATACTGGGGCCTCTTGGGATGTAGGATTAGAACTGGTCCACTGTTCTGGAAATCACCTCATTCAACTGGCCAAAGCAAATCACATGGCCAAACCCAGGTTCAAAGGTGGAGGGGAGATTTTGCCTCTTTAGTAAAGGGAACATACAGCCATTCTGGAAAGCAGCCTAGTGGAATAGAGTGAAATTAAATGTTTGCTCTAGGAACCAGAGATCACATGCCTTGCAACATATTCCAAAGAAATGAATGCACAGGCCAATAAAGTGGAATGAATAAGGGTTTTCATTGTGGTATCAATGGAGAATAATTTATATCTCAGTTGGAAATAACTTAGATGTTGACAACTAATGGATAAATTAAATGTGGTATACTTACACTTTGGAATACTATACAGCACTTAGTGTATATATGGCAATACATACGAATTTTAAAAACATCTTTTTACCATGGAAAAAATAAGAAACAGTTTAAGATTTAAAACCAAATACTAAGGGCACCTGGGTGGCTCAGTTGGTTAAGCATCTGCCTTTGGCTCGGGTCATGATCCCAGGGTCCTGGGATCGAGTCCCACATCAGGCTCCCTGCTCAGTGGCGAGCCTGCTTGTACTTCTCCCTCTGCTTGTTGCTCCCCCTGCTTGTGCTCGCTCTTTCTCTCTCTGTCAAGTAAAATAAAATCTTTAAAAAACCCAAATACTATTTATGTAAAATGAATACAGATACAAAACATGTAAGGATAAATTTATATTTACAGACATATAGCAGACATGTAAGAGTGGGTGCCCATTGGCAGAAAGGAGGTAATGAGACTGGGGACTGGGGATATAGAGTGACACTAAAACCAAACCAAAACAAAAAGATAGAGGAGCCATTCATGGGCCAATGTTGATAATATGTTGTGAACTAAGAACTGTGACTACAATCTGAGGTACAAAATAATAACTAAGAAAAAAATATTACAGAATCAAAATCAAATTGTGAAGAGTGTCAGCTAGTTTGCATCTGTAGGGCACTGGCCCTGCCCACTACAGTAAGTCACTTTTGATCTGAAAACTACCTCTGGTAAAAACTGCTGTTCACCTACTCACCCCATGCACTTCCCCCTCTCTTCCATATTTATAGAACCCCTCATTATTGGGAATAATGTGTCCAGCTTAGAAAGACACACACACACACACACACACACACAATTCCTAGCCACACTTGTAGCAAGGGTGGGTATTGAGATATAAACAGAACTCATTGAATGGGGCTTTGGAAAAGTCTTTTTCTTTTTTTAAGATTTTATTTTTAATTATTCTCTAAACCCAACGTGGGGCTTAAACTTGCAACCCCAGTATCAAGAGTCATATGCTCTACTGAGCCAGCCATGGGAAAGTCTTCTTGTCCGATGCTATCTTGTACAGTGAATTGACCTGAAGGCTGGAACTAATGCTCTGAGGCTAGCAGAGCAGAGACAGATGGAGCCTGTGTCCTGAAGACCTGGTGAAGCCACTAAACCAGCTCTGGACTTCTTTAATAGAATAGCCTCCTAATTTGTTTAATAAGCCACTGTAGACTAACTGCTGTTTCTAACCTTAATGCAATTCCTGATATACAAGGCTTTCTCTTTTTTCTTAAAAAAAAAAAAAAAAGTCACTCTTTTCTTCCAGACTAACAGAGGTTATAGACTAATAGCATGATGAGGCCAGAATTTAGGCTTAAATGGATTACCTTTAAGACAAGCCAAAGAAACACTGCTTCAAGTAGTAGCTAATAAGTATTTATTCATTTGCAAAATTAAAGGTTAAAACTTGAAATTTCTCATCTGTAAAAACAGGACCTAGGAAGTACACTCTATCTTAAAGTTACCTTATAGGTGGTATTCATGGGATTTCTTATCCCCCAAAGGTGGAGAAAGTGGAAAATATAGTTTTTATTTTAAATGGTTTTGATAAATTCTTGACTAGAGCCATAATGCATTAAGGCAAATCCGAATTTTTTTTTTTCAGCACATCTCTGTTTTACATCAGGGAGGACATGCTGTGTCTTCTCACTAAACATCCTTTCATGGCTAGATCACTGTTGCCTTGACATCGGGTGCCTTGTGGAAGGACTCTTAGGGGCTAAAGTATGTGTGCAGGACTGAAAAAAGGGAGATTCCCCACTGCAGGACTCACTGCCTGTGACTGAAGATGTGGGCAAGTGACAAAAAGCACACTGAACTGGGACACCAAACATGATTCTTTTGTTTGGCTGTGTTCAGCAAACATTTAAGGATACCTGCTCTGTGACAGGCACAGTGCTGGACCCTGGGAAAGGACTGGCAACACATAGGCGCTGACCTCCATAGGTCTCAGGCACAGCATTTTGAGCTCAGGCTATAATTCTAATCGACCTTGGTGAAGGAAAGATGTTTCAGGAGGCCCTCATCAGTTTAAAGGCCGGTGAACAAATGCCAGTTCCAGACAGGTGTTACACCAAAGAAATCCGCTGAACCAGAGCATTTTTCTCTCCTACTTTAACAGAATCTAGCTGCTTATTTTCCCACCAGGGATGCTCCTCTCTGCAACTCAGACCTAATGAATCTGCTTTCATTTCCTGGGGGCCTAAACTCACGAAATCAGCAGAAATGGTAAATAAAAGCAGAGCATCAGAAAATGATGTTCTAGCCCTGGTCTAGAATTCTCTCTATAAACTTTGACAAATTATTTTTCAGTGTTCTCATCTGCAAAGTGTTGTAAAATGAAGACCTGTAAAGTGAACTCTGTGCAAAAAGTGTGAAAACTTTTTGCTAGTAGGTGAAGGGGCACAAGACAGGACCCCCCCCCCCCGCCCCCATGTGCCACTTTGGCTTGCGGATTATCTGGAGCTTAAGTCACTTTAGACCCTGAGAGCTCAAGAGAAACTTTTGTCCTCCCTTAACCACACAGAAGAATCTAAATTGGGGTCTTTTCCAGAATAAGGGTTATTAACAGAGATAAATTTTATCTGAGTGCGCCATCTGTATGGTAGGGCGAATATCTAATTACCATCTTATCGCTCTATGAAAGTGCATTCCTTTCATCTGAAGTCCCAGACTCCTATCTCCTTTTTATTTTATTTATTTATTTTTTAAAAGATTTTTATTTATTTGATAGAGACACAGTGAGAGAAGGAACACAATCTCCCGCACCTGCTGCTTGCAGCTCCGCAGCTCGCGTTCCAACTTTTCCACCTTCCGCCTCAGCTGGGCCAGCTCAGGCTCAGGGGAGGGAGGTGACGACGGCGAGAGTGGGAGAGGGAGAAGCAGGCTCCCCGCCGAGCAGGGAGCCCGATGCAGGACCTGGGATCCCAGGATTCTGGGATCATGACCTGAGCCGAAGGCAGACGCTTAACGACTGAGCCACCCAGGCGCCCCATCCTATCTCCTTTTTAGTTCAGAATGACATATATACCTCATTGTGCCTATTTTGGGAATTTCCACGTCTATGTGGAGTTCCTTATACCTGTGCCTATTAAATTTGATTTTTCTCTTGTTAATCTGTCTCATGTGAATTTGATTCTTCGTGCAGCTAGAAGGACCTTTGAAGAGACAGGAATTCTTGCTCTCCGACACAGGCAAGTGCAAAAACCCAAGGCCAGAGGCAGCGACCTTCAAACTATCGCCAGGGCTAGGCTTTCAAACCGACTCTTCAAGCGCACAGGTACCCTAGCGCTAAGGTAGAGAGACTGCGCATGTGCCGTAAGGCCCTTCCCAGTACCCGTAGCTTCCCTTTAGGTTTTGGTCCCGCCCACCACCAGAGCCCTCGTTTCCGGTTCAGCCCAGGAAGCTTTCGAGTGTATCTGGCCTCCGCTTCCCTGAGCCGATCATTTCTCCAACGTTTCTCCAGGTCTTTCGGTGGCTGGGAAAGGTAGTTGCCAATAAAGTTTCCCCGTTTCAAAGTCTAGCAGATTGGGCCGGGCGCATCCTCTGTCCCCTTGCTCACTGCCCGCAGTCTTTTAGGCTACAGGCAAGGAGTTTCAAGGCGTCATGGCCAGGGGCCGGTCCGGCCCGGCCGGTCTGAGGTCAGCTTTCGTTGCCCGCGCGCTCTCACGGCTTTTGGTCCCCCCGGCGTCCGCCTCAGCGTGAGCGCAGTCCCTCCGCGCCCACGGACTGCCTTGCGCTGGACCCCATGGCCTCCGAGGCTCCGTCGCCTTCGTTGTCGCCGTCGTCACCTCCCTCCCCTGAACCTGAGCTGGCCCAGCTAAGGCGGAAGGTGGAGAAGTTGGAACGCGAGCTGCGGAGCTGCAAGCGGCAGGTGCGGGAGATCGAGAAGCTGCTGCATCACACGGAGCGGCTGTACCAGAGCGCAGAGAGCAACAACCAGGAGCTCCGCACCCAGGTGCGCGGTCCGCCTCCAGCCCCGCGCCCCGTCCAGCCCAAGGGGAGGCTTCCGAAGCCTCTGATAGCCTCGGAAGGGCTCCCTGGCAGGGGCCCAGAACTGCTCTATAGAGTATCTGAAAGAAATAAAAGTTCACGTGTATTATAATTCCAAGTACATTTGAAGCTAGCCTAAGAGTTCGGGTTCCTGGATTTAGTGCGCGAGCTGCTGGTGGGAAGTGAACTTAATTACCTTACTTTTCATTCTCACTTGTGACGTTCCCTTGGCATTAGGAACGTTTATATTATTTTCTCTGCATCACTTTTGAGTTAAAGCTCTGGACTTGAAGCAGAATGCCATTTATCACTCACTTGGTGTGTGAACTGATGCTGAGCTCAGTTGTCCATAAAATGAGTGTTAGTACCACACAAGTGAAGGTTAAATCAGATTAAGCATGAACAGACAGTTTTAGAATTTCACAAAATGTTGAACACTATGCATATGTCAGGTTGTTTTTCTGGGCATTTACTAGCTTGAGTTTTCTGGTGTAAGTAGGGGGGCTCAAACTGTCTTTGTTAGAGACACTACATGTTCATAAAATGGGGTAAAGATAAGTATTTAACTGTCACTTTTTTTTTTGGTAATTTTAAAAAGGAGCATAATATTTTTTTCCAGCTTGATTTGTTGGGCAGTTACACTCTCCCAACAAGTTATTTCCCTGTAATTATTAATGTAAACGGTTGTGTAGTCCTTTGTAATATATTGGTATATTTCCTAAAATTGCACATAAAGGCTGTACACTGAAAAATCAGCAAACTTTGTTATGCTTTGTTATCAAATGATCTATGAAAATAACTGCTGAGATGTAGTGCATTGTGTCTGTTGTATAGGTTGTTAATATGACGTTATAGAAAATAGTGTTTGTGTAATAACTAGTTCTTGAACACTTAAAATGAATGCATAAGGACTGTGCTAGGAGACTACACATATGGTTAAACTATCATGAGGAAAGGGGAGCAAAATATTCCCTTAAAATTCCTTTTAAAAAACCCTTTTAAATTCTAAATTTTTATTTTATTTTTTTTTAAAAGATTTTATTTATTTATTTGACAGAGAGCGAGAGAGCATAAGCAGGGGGAGCAGCAGAGGGAGAAACAGACTCCCCGCTGAGCAGGGAGCCCGAGGCGGGGCTCGATCCCAGGACCCTGGCATCATGACCTGAGCAGAGGCAGACACTTAACCAACTGATCCACCCAGACACCCCTCTAAATTTTTAATCTAAAGATCTAAAAGAGAACATTTTTTGCTAGCCTTTGAAGAGCCAGCATTTTGTTATTAGTGTGAATTTGGTAGTGGTCTAATACGAAAATTGAAATGCATAAAAAGCCTTGACCCTACTGGTGATAGTAATAACTCCTCTTTACCCTCTTCTTAGTGAGCCTCCCTTGGTGGTGGGTAGAGGTTGGTTAACGGTCATCGCAAATCACTAAATAATGTTTTACCTGGAGTGGTAAAAAGTTGGCTTGAGAATTGAGGGTGAGCTGATAGAAAAACAGGTTTTGGACTCTGAAGAACCTTGGGCAAATTACTTTGTCTTTTCAGGTTTCTCATGTAAAATGGTGATTAGGGCCACTATACTGTAAGAAGTTTGGAAGAATTTATGAGAGGTTATCCAGAGTACTAAGTTTAGTGCCTAGCATGTAGCAGATACTAAATAAATTACCAAGTTTATAGTAATAGTGGTAGTAATTAGAGCCAGGACTGGGGCAAGGCGATCAGTAACCCAGGGCAAAAAATTTAAGGAGTACTCATTGTCTGGTACAGACCCTGTACTTGTGAGAAGCTAAGAATGAGTGCTCCCTTAAATGTTGTGCTCTAGGTGCCTTGTTTGCTTCACTCTAGTTCTAGCACTGGTGCTAATAGGAGCTGATAACTAATGAAGTGCCTAGATAATCTGTATGTAGTCAGTCTTATACCACCTTTCTTCTTTTAAGCTTTATGTGTCATTAAGTATTTAAAAGCTTGGTTTTTTAGTTTCATGCCTATAGTAGATATTGTCTCACACAGATCCTTTCTGAATGAAGTGTATTTATGGTGTTGCTCCTCCTCTGCTTATGGGTATTTCCACACTTTTGCTCTGGCCCTGGCATTCAGTGAGGCACAGGGAAGGCAGAGGCCCTTTGAGGCAGTCACCTCTCTTCCCTTCTGCTGCAGTTGTGTAGTCCTAAGACTACCATCTTCTGTTTAAAGAAAAAAAAAGTGCATTAAAGCATACAAGTGAGTATTAATATATTTAAGTGAATAGGTAATTCCAGGTGGAGGACCCTGAATGATACTAGATAATTTAATTTGATGAATGGGAATTAATGGTTTTTTAAACTAATTTTTTTTTTTTTAAGATTTTATTTATTTGACAGGGAGACACAGCGAGAGAGGGAACACAAGCAGGGGGGGTGGGAGAGGGAGAAGCAGGCTTCCCACTGAGCAGGGAGCCCGAAGCAGGGCTCGATCCCAGGACCCTGGGATTATGGCCCGCCGAAGGCAGATGCTTAACGACTGAGCCACCCAGGCGCCCTTTTAAACTAATTCTTTAGGAAGAACTGCTAACTGGTTAAAAATTTTAGTATAAAAACATTCTTACTGTTAGAAATAAGTGATCGTCTTCACAAAGTCCTATTAATTTAGTTCATGTAAATTCATTTTGGAGGGAATATTTTAAGGTTTAGCAAGAGAGTATGAGAGTAAAAACATTTCCTTCTACAAATGTGAAAGGTGAAAGAAAGTTAATTATAGTATTTTTAATTTTTCTGAAAAGGAAACTAGCTGCTTTGGTACTAAAACTTCAACCAAGAAAAATAATTATTGTAATTTCAGGAGAATGGTGTGTATATTATTAGATTGCTAAATGATTTAATTTCCTAAAGCTGTGTTTTCTTTTAGGTAGAAGAGCTCAGTAAAATACTCCATTGTGGGAGAAATGAAGACAATAAAAAGTCTGATGTAGAAGTTCAAACAGAGAACCACCCGTCTTGGGCAGTCTCAGGTATTCGGCTTGTAGTGAAGATATCTTAGTGCTGTTGCATTCACATCATGCTAAGTTGGAGTTTTTTTAAAATTTAAAGTAGACATACATCTAGATCTGAGAACTGTTATGTTGACTTCTCATATGATTTGGTATTTTCAGATGATCTCTATGTTCTTCTGGTGGGAAAATAGAAATGTCATTCTATAAATATATAATAATGCTAATGTGTTTTTGGTGGCACATTAATGTTTGCTGTGCTGTGAACCATTTACTTGTGTCTGGCCTTCCTTGAGACCAGGCACATGTATTTTCTTGTTGATGTATTCCACTTAGCATTGTGTTCAGTGTCAGTGTCTTAGGCCCTTATGGGAGTGATGAACTCACAGCCATTACCTCATGAGTGACATTGTGAGGCAAAATAACTGAGGAACTGAGTTTTAATAAATAGGGATCAGAAGAAACGATCTTTCCATTAAGTTTTGCCTTGTTTTATTCAGTAACAATTTAACTAAATTGTTAAACACAGCATCGGTATTAACATTACATATTTGTATGATATATTTTATTTATTTATTTTTTAAAGATTTTATTCATTTATTTGACAGAGAGACAATGAGAGAGGGAACAGAAGCCGGTGGGGGCGTGGGGGGCAGGTGGGGGAGAGGGAGAAGCAGGGAAGCAGGCTTCCCGGTGAGCAGGGAGCCCAATGTGGGGCTCGATCCCAGGACCCTGGGATCATGACCTGAGCTGAAGGCAAACACTTAACAACTGAGCCACCCAGGTGCCCTCTATGATATATTTTTTTTTTTTTTAAGATTTTGTTTATTTATTTGACAGAGAGAGACACAGCGAGAGCAGGAACACAAGCAGGGGGAGTGGGAGAGGGAGAAGCAGGCTTCCCGCGTAGCGGGGAGCCCGATGCGGGGCTCGATCCCAGGACCCTGGGATCATGACCTGAGCTGAAGGCAGACGTTTAATGACTGAGCCACCCAGGCACCGATATATTTTTTTTTAAGTCATCATTATGAGAGAAATATGACAGTAAAAACAACCCTTGGACTTTTTTTTTTAAAGATTTTATTTAT